GATGGAGGCATGTCTCTTGTGTGTTGGAGGAGAAGTTATGGAAGCTGTGCAGGCCAGTGTATATGTTATGTGTCAGCAGAGATTAAGATGAATAGGAGCGACCATGGGGCAGAGTGTTTTGTGTTTTCAGAGGGCTGGATTAAAGAACACAAGTCCTGACCCCGGGGTCATCACTGAGTCAAATCCATTTACAATCACCTAATGGAACCCAAAGCTCTATTCAACAAGTGAATTTAAAGATAGCGAGATTTATGAGACTTAGAAATCGGGGTGCAGTAATGAAAACAGGGCAACATTTTGCATTTATAATGCATTCTGCTCTAACATTTCTCTGATATAGTTCTGTGCTGTTACAAGAATGGCTGTCACAGTGTAAGGTCTGATGGAGCCCCTACATGGGACAAGACCTGTCGCCTGACTGCCATTCAAATGGAGAAAGTGTGATTAGAGATTATCGGCTCCTATTGCCTTTGGTCAGCTGTCCCTAAATAACAGACTAGTAAACTTAAAACGTATTAAACATATAATATGGCTACTATTAATACAACTACTATGAATAATAATAAATTATAAATGAGAACAGTCAACAATAAAACACCTGCAATGAAAATACAGAATTGGTTATTAATGTAACTGATGTACAGCCAAGTTCTCCATTCTGCTTATTTGCAATGTACAGTGACATCTACCAATCAAAATACTTCTCTCTCTAGAAAATTTCAATCTGATTGGCTGTTAGGGGTTATTGCACTTTGCCTGTTACCATTGCTCCCTTACCTGCATTGCTAAATAGGTCTGAAAAGGTTAAAGTAATCTTCCCACTATGTTACCTTCAGGTTAAATAGCTGGCACATATTTGTCGGGGGACGTTTTTAAAACTCAATAGAAACCAATGTGTTAATAATTTTTAACAGCCATTTAAACTGAACCCAGATGTGATGCATATAACAGATTTGCTTTGATTCATTATAATAACTACATTTAAATGTCCTGTTTTCCTTTTTTTTAAACGGTAGGGCAGAGTGCTTTAGTCTAATGGTGTCTTAGCAGAAGCGTAGGCAGGAAAGAGGCTGGAGAGGGCACATGGCTCCCCTGGGCAGCGAATGCCCCCTGCAGGGAGCGGAGCTGCAGGCTGGGCATGTGTTTGGCTGGCGGACAGGCACAGCTCGCTCTGATACCCGGGGTAAGCATGAAATTGCTAGCTGTTCCCAGCAGAAAGGGATGAAATGCTGCTAAACCCTCCCAGGGGCACACAGTTCTAGCTGTGATTTAATGGAGCGAGCAGGGTAAATGCTGCTCCCAACGGACCCTGCAGATTAAAGCGGCGAGTTAAATTGGATCAAACTATGTAAATGAGGAGATGTGAACATTAGGGTTAGGAGAATTGAGGCAGAGGACACGCTAGAGAAACAGATATCCTTTGGTGTCTGCTGATTGCTGCAAGTATTAGCAGGGGCTGCTGCACGAGACAAGAAGTGTCACACTGATAATGGTAAAACTGGGTCTCCTCTCTTCTGAAGAGTTATGTATCAATTACCCCCTCGCTGTCACACGGTCCTGTAACAAGGCTGTGAAATTAGAGAACTTTGGTAGTCTTCCAGAGTCATCATCACACAGCACATCCAGCGCTGGCCTGTATTAGCACAATGTGTGGATTACTGACCACCAAACTAGCACATGCCAGCAGCTAACACACCTAAAGTTCAATGCCATTCAGATATAACCTTGGCTTCATAGCATTTCATCGCTCGACCGCCATCTAATTTCAAAGGGTTACAGTTAGCCCTGGTTTATTCTTCTCTACATTTAATAGCTCGAAGAACTCGTGAGATTTTTAGAGCATATAAGGAATGTGTTATGAGCTGCAGGTGTACACTTGTTGCACACCTTGCACCCATGTTGCTAAGTGCTATATGGTAAGCTTCATCGCTGCACAATGTGCTGCTGTAATGGTTTTGGTATCCCTTGTTTTGTTTCCTTCTAAGAAATCACATAACTAGGTATCATATGGGGGTACTATGTTAAACATTCAACCGGTCTTCCATATTTCAAGGTCACAGCAGCTATGCATCACATATAACCAGGTTGTGATGAAGCAGAAATACAGAGCTGGATGTATATACTAAGCAGGGTTTGTGCTCAGAGTCAGTGGTGCCAGTGTGATCAGGGTCTAAGACAACTTCCTACCAATGACTATATATGTGTGTGTTTAGGAATATATATATCTATATATCTATATATCTATATATAGATATATAGATATATAGATACATAGATATATAGATATATCTATATATATATATAGGACATTTATATATATTTTTGGATATATTTAATTTGCATTAGAAGTTATCTTTTTTTCTTCTTTTTTCCAAATGGCTCAGGTTAGGGAA